ATATATTAAATATGTATGTACATCATATATATCAGGGTTAGATAATGTGAGTTCGTTTCGCATCGACACACGCTCTAAAGCTAATCAACTTTATACAATCGGGTAGGGCCGCTGCTGGGACGACCCTCCATTTAGATTAAGAAGCACTACGTTCCATTCAAATCTCTTTCGACTCTCTCGCCCAACGTTGATAACTATAAATAACAAATACTTACTATGGTCTGTTTGCCTGATTCTTCAGTTGCGATAGATAGCTCTGAGCATCGGGGCAAACTCGACTAACAATGGCATATATGTATAAGTATATATGCTATATAATTCAAATATTTTATATAAATTTTGAGTTTAGCAGCAGTTTCGTTCAATGATATGTTTTTGTTGCGGTTAGTCTTCATTCGACTTTATAGCGTAGACGATATTTATATGTAAATATGTATATCAAATAAATATATATGTATATAGGAATGCTGATAAGCTTTATGCAACACTGATATGTTTCGTTCCCAATCTTAAAAGCTAACAAACGTTTCGAACGTCTAGTAAATGTCAACACAAATATATATCTAATATTAAATATATATATATGTATATATATATCTATGATCCGGACTTACGTGTTCCTCACTGAGCTAGGCTGGTGCTGTAAGCGACTGGAGATCGAACTCAACTTAAAATATATAAAATAGTGTGAAGAACTACAAGACCAAATCAAAATAGTGTAAATCGTGTGTTGTTTTTTGTAAATGGATATTACTGGAATCGTGTATATATTTTGTTATATCAATTCTACTAAAAATACATACATAATCAATATATAATTAAATTTGTATCACAACGAATTTAGCAAAAACTTAATCTAAGACTACAACAAAGAAACAAAAGAACTGGAAAAATGTGCGTGCTCAGTGTATAATATTAACTACAGAATATAAGGACACATACGATATAGAACCAGGAATCCATATATATATAGAAATATATATATAGAAAATAACGAGTGCATTTCGCATTTGTATCCAAGTGCATGATGAACCATTACTTACGCACACAGCTTACGAACTAAGTGGAATCTGTAAGCCCGGCTAGCAGGAGGCGGGCGGGGGCCAACAGTTAAACGTTAAACATAGATAATATGGGGGAGGAGATTTACAAGATTCATGTGGTAAGAAGCTGATCAACTGTTAGCCTATAGCTAGGTAAAGGTCTACAGGGCAGCAAGGTCATTCGATAAGCGAAGAGTAACTGCATCAATGGGTCCGTCTACTTGGCCTCTACGGGCCGATTGGCGAACAGCTGCTCCACAATCTGYTCGTCGGCCAGCGTGGACGTGTCGCCCACGTTGCGATCGTTGACGGCGATCTTGCGCAGCACACGGCGCATAATCTTGCCGGAGCGTGTCTTGGGCAAGCCTGGCGCATTTTGTATAACATCTGGCATGGCAAAGGGTCCGATCCGGTCGCGTACCATCTTCTTCAGATCGGCGATCAATTTTTGGTCGAACGTCTCGTTTTCATTGGGCGTGATAAAGCAGTAGAGGCATTCACCCTTGACCGGATGGGGGCGAGACACCACAGCCGATTCGGCAACACGCGGATGTTCCGTGAGCACAGACTCCACCTCGGCCGTGGACATCAGATGGCCAGAGACATTCAACATGTCGTCCACACGACCAGTGATCCACAAATAGCCATCGGCATCACGACGTGCACCTGCAAAAAGAAGATTAGTTAGCTATTTATATATGGATAGAGGATATAGTTCAACGCACCATCGCCAGTGCAATAGTAGCCTGGGAACTTGGAGAAGTAGGTGTCCTCGAAACGCTCATGATTGTTGTACAGCGTGCGCATCATGCCCGGCCAGGGCTGCGAGAATACCAGGTAACCCTCGCCCTCGCCCTTAATCTCGATGCCGCACTCATCCAGCAGAGTCGGCTTGACGCCAAAGAACGGAAAAGACTACGAAAATGAAATCGTATTACAAAATGGCCTATTCATTCACATCTAATGATTCGCTTACCGCAGAGCCTGGTTTCATGGGCGTGGCTCCAGGCAGTGGCGTTATGACATGCCCACCAGTTTCCGTCTGCCAGAATGTATCCACAATGGAGCACTGCTCCTTGCCAATGTAGCGATAGTACCATAGCCAAGCCTCTGGATTGATGGGCTCACCAACGCTGCCCAAGACCCTAAAGCGAGAGATAGAGATAGAGAGAGGCGCATTAGCTTTACAATCGACTTGGGTTAGCCAGGTAAACCTACTTGAGTCCACTCAGATTGTGCTTGAGCACTGGCGCCTCGCCGAACTTCATGAGCGCGCGTATGGCCGTGGGCGCCGTATAGAACTGGGTGACCTTGTACTTGTCAATGACGCTCCAGTAGCGATCGTTGCCCGGGAAGAAGGGCGTGCCCTCGAACTGCAAGCAAAGCAATAGTAAAGTTAGTGAATTGACTAAGCAATGGCGCGCTAATTGCAGTACGCACGATAATGGAGGTGGCGCCATTGGCCAGTGGTCCGTAGACAACGTAGGTGTGTCCAGTGATCCAGCCCACGTCGGCAGTGCACCAGTAGATGTCGCCGGGCTTGTAGTCAAAGACGATCTTGAACGTGGTGGCCGCGTAGAGCAGGTAGCCAGCCGTGGTATGGAGCACGCCTTTGGGCTTGCCCGTGGAGCCGCTCGTGTAGAGCATGAATAAGGGATCCTCGGCATCCATCCACTCTGGATAGCAGGCGGGCTCCTTATCCTCCATCTCCTCGTGCCACCAGTAGTCGCGATCATCGGTCCACGGTATGTCCTGGTCCACATGATTGTCCTGGCAGGGCGTCACGCGCTTCAGATGCGACACCACAATGCACTTCTCCACGGAGTGGCCCATCTCCTCCACCTTCTCCAACGCCGTGTCGCACAAAGCCTTCAGGTAGAGCGGTTTCTCGCCACGCCAAGCCCCATCGGCCGTGATCAGCAGCTTGGCCTTGCAATCGAACATGCGCTCCGCCAAGGAATCCGACGAGAATCCGGCAAACACAATCGAGTGCACGGCACCGATGCGAGCACAAGCCAACATCGCAATGGGCAGCTCCAGAATCATGGGCATATAAATGGAGACGCGATCACCTTTCTGAATGCCATGATCCTTCAGCACATTGGCGAAGCGGCAGACCTCCTCCAGCAGCTTGCGGTAGGTGAGACCACGCGAATAGTCATCCGGGTGATTGCCCTCCCTGCAAGATAATGAGAAATAAATGCGGAAATTAATAATATATCCATTTTGGCAATCTGCCCAGCCAGAAGAGAAAGAGAAAAAGAAAGGGAGAGAGAGGAAGNCAGATCAGCATAACAATTTGGCAGCCACGTAACACTTATTTAAGTCTTAAGTTTTTGACACGAAATATGAAAGTGACGCCAGACAGTAACAACTGTCACGGTCGCCATGTAATAAAATGAACCTCTATTATCTTTGAGTTCTGGACAGCGAATGCTCTCCGTATTTTATTCAAATAAAGTCTTAGCCTAAAGTACATAAAGTTTACATAAAGAATTCTGTCGCTTATAGCAGCGGCAGAATGGGAGTATATAACATGCTGTATGTGTGTGTATATATGTTTGTATGCATATGCAGAAGGCATATACATTTAGCGTTTAAGCTGCGGCGTGGACAAGAGCGTAACAATGCTTACGTTGCAGATCCCACGCTGCAGGCCAGTCTATACATAAGTGACCGATCATATTACGGCGCTTATGTATAGCTGTTATAATATAAGTAAAGCAACAAAGTGTKGCTATKTTGTGAGCAYGATWCTCTTACTTATATTTTGGGCATATGTCAACTTCATATATTGTATACACTACAATACTGTGAGCATATGCTTATATGACATACAACATACTACAATTTCTTTGATTCTCAACCTGGCAACAAAAGCCAATAACCGACCACAAAAAGAGACAGCTGCATAGCCTACTTATGCACTGCATGTGTATATACATAAATGTACATGTGTATATCGTATGTATATAATATTCAACAGTCTGCAATTTAAGTATACGTACGGCACTAAAATCTTGACTGCAAAGAGATAATACTCTATACGATTATAAATAATTATAAATTGATGATACCTAGAAACTATATTGCAAAGCAATAACAAAACAAAACATATGAAACTATACCCAAAAGAGAATATGACTAACAACTATTTCCCATTTTTCTGCGAAACAAATTTTCTTTTACGAAAACAATAAATAGCACTCATAAGATAATTTTGGTCAGAGATAATTTCTCATTATTTATAAATATTTAACTTATCTAAATTTATGCTTTATCAACCATTAGAATTGGCTATCCATTAATCATTGGATATATTATATATTTGTAAAATATTTAAATTTTTTAAGTTATCTTTAATAGAGTTCCAGTCTTTAACTTAATCAAGACAACCCAACTAAAAAATATAAATAAGTATAATTTTAAACATATTTCTAGCCCGAAACCTGTTGTTAATCAATATACTTTTAGAGCACACTGTTATCCATTCAATTGTCTGAGTAGAATTAATTGCACCCAAATACAAAATGCATAAATTTAACAACAGAACGCAATGCACAATCGATTATAAAATCGTGACGTATATATGCATATATATATATATCCACATTATAGTAGATTTGCTCAAGGACAAGCGGCAATAGAGAAAGCTACTCGAACCTCTATGGTTACGGGTCTTGGTCTAGGTCAACAGTCATAGTGCTAGACGTCGCGACGTGCAGTAGAACACAAAGCCCAAACGAAATAACCGTTTAAATGACTCAAATGTCATACAAAAGCTGTAAATCAGTGACTAAATATTAATAATGGAGGTGGGGGAGGTAGTATCCCATCGCTTTGTCATATCGAACGATAAGAGTCAGAAAATAATTCAGGAAATAAATAAGTTAGTTGATCGCAATCATGACGTATAAAATGCTATTTTAGCACACCTATCATCGGCAGTCCGGTACAAAGTACACTTTTTCCTCGTATATGCTATGACTTGGCCTATATACATATGTGGATGTCCGATAGCCACTACTGAAACCTAGCGAAATAATTTTCAACGCATGTGAAATGGTATTTAATTAGTAAGATGTTAAAAATATATCGCAAACAAAAACAATAAAATCTGCTTGATAAACTGCGAGCGGCAACAACAACAACAACAGTATGATTAATAACAGCGACTGTTAAAGCTAACAGCGCTGTTACGTTAGCCTGTGCTTAAATCAAGGCCAAGCTCTCTCCCGCTCCCATATCTATGCTCACTCTCTGTGTAGTTTAGCAAGCACTTAATACATCACATTACTTCGACCCTTGTCAAACTGTTGTGAGCATTCTCTGCAAATGACTAATTATGAGTGTTAGCCCGTCGGTCTATGGCGCGATATTTTCAATGTTTGCGCCGAAGTGCTTTTCATTTTTCATAAGCAACTGTTGCGCTCCCCTTGTCGCTGGACTATCTTCCAGCTAATCAATTACTAGCTAGTCATGCACATTGCCTGGAAACCAATTGAAAGACGGCAACAGCTCATGATCTTGACCGACGTCGGGGCCATTCATTGGCAGCAGACAGACGCGTGGCCCACCTCGCTTATCGCAAATTCAAAATTTATAAAAAAAAATCGCATATTTTGTATTGGGAAGAATCGCATGCAGGCAAGTAGAATCATGTGAGGAGCTGTGGCAGCCGGCAACAGCAACAACAACAGCAACAATAATAAAAGTAATCTTGGCGTAAGCAGCTGTTGATTCGCGTGTCTGAAATCTAAACAAAAACAAAACACTAAAGAGGCATAATACAAATCGTATCGAATGTTTTCATTTGTTGTTGGCGTGAAGAATTTCAAGTTAGCTTTTTCTCGCTTGGATTCTATTCTGTTTAGCCTGTGAATGAAAGGTTAGCCGGTCTGCCCTACAGTTTGGTAGAAACATCGTATGATTTTTGACAAGCCAACGCAGTTATCAGATGCTAAATTATGCAAACTGTTTTTAATGTCCAAGCATTTTGTTTATGTGATAAAAAGAGCGTAGGGGGGGGAAGTGTGTAGATTGGAGTGTAGAGTACACAGAGGGTTTTCCACTATAAATGGGGGCACATCAACAATTTGATACCAATTACAAATGCGCACTGTTGCGAAAAGTGATAACAAAACGTGGGCGAAAGGGGACAAAAGCAAACAGCAAACACACATACATACGTATGTGTGTATGATTGCCCAATTAATGTTGTTGCTGTTGCTGTGACTGTTGTGCTTGCCCTTTCGCTTGCTCTTCAGTTTATGTCAGCACTAACACAACATTTTCGTTTCTTTTACACACGCACACACTCATACACGCGCACTTTTTAGCCGGTTTAGCGCATGTGTGAATGCCTACGAATTCTCTCTATGTGATTGTGATTGGCTGTGAGTAATCGGACGATGTGATCGCGTGATTTTTGTGGGCCGCACAGTGCTGCCAAAACTGTGAGTAGGAAGCGTTGTGACCTGCAGTACGGAGGCTGCGCTTTGAAGTTCGCCCTGTATCTTTAAACTTTTGACACTGGCATTGTTTCTCGCTCTACGTTTACCTCCTCCTTCTGTGTTTCGCTACTTGTCCATTGCCAGACGTTGTGACACACATTAAGGCGCGAAATATTTGATTTGAGTTGATTCGATTTTGTATTGTTTTGTTGCGCTCGCATCGAATTTAATTTGAATAAACAATTTGAGCGCCTTGTGCTAATCGCCCGCTTATATAAAACTGACAATACCAATGGCCACACGTGTGCATGTATTGAAACCTAATATTATATATTTTATGGCAGACTAAATGTTGAAAGAAACAAAAAAGATTTTGCTTTGGTTTTTAACTTTATTGCTTTGTCTGAGTATTATCTATACTTTTCCCTCTATTTTGTTGTTGTTAATTGTTGGTTATTACGCGTTTTATCTTATCTCACCGATGAGCGTATGTATTTTGGATTTGAGCCTTATGTTTTCAGACACATTCCCAGTTTGACCTTGCCAAGCTCTGCTCCACCAATGTCTGTATGTATATCTGTATGTACCTGATTTCCTATGCTCTATAAATATCAATTACGATTTGCATTTCTTTTCGCACGCGTCTGCGGAACTACGTTGAACTCATTGATAACCCGAGATTAGAAAAAATTAACATTAGTTAAATATTTTTTAATTTTTTCTTAAGTCGGGATTGATTTGAACTTTCTGAACGATAACCTGCAAGACATAAAATATTCCACAAAAATATGAAAAAGAAAAACAAACGGAAAAGACGCAATAAGACGTAATCGATTGCGATCTAAGAGCACTAGTCACTTTTGAAGAACTCTCGAATCAGTTGTAGCACCTGATTCAGTAATTAGGCATTGATAAAATACAAAATAAATCAATTTGATTACAAATCGAAACGATGGGAAACTTTCATATTACGTCTAGATTGTATTTCAATGGATTTTTTTTTTTTTTTTTTTTTTCTTTTGAAGTATTTATGTACACTCAAGGCAAGAGTGTTAAATATTTGAAGAAAACTAAGTAAACATGGAGAAGAAAACTAATAAACTTTGCAATTTACAACTCAAATATTATATACTACATACAATATCGATATACATACTATATATGTATGTACCTGCGCGCAGAGCTCTGGCATTGACCTTCCCAAGAAGTAGGCGCTGTAGTTGCTTTAACTAATCAAATCACTCTATTCAGTCAGCTGTCAACTCGTAAAGAGCTCTGTCGTTGAAAAAGAAACTGAGTGAAGGAGAGAGTAAGAGACGACCTGAGGCAAAGTTACGGTTACTCCGTCGCTGCTCTGCCGCTGCCGCTGCCGCTGCCTCTGCCTAAGTTAAGGGCGAACATCTGTTCGCTTCGTCTCGTGCCTGCGCACTGCAAGCGAATCAAGGGTAGGTAAAGGCAGGAGGCGACTGAAACAACGATGGGTGGCAGGCAGCACTTGGCCTACGTCACGAGCGCGTTTCGTAATAGCAAAAGCATGAATAAAAAAATCAATACGTAATTATCCTTTACGTTTACTTTTGTTTTCATGCGACCAGGCCAATGGGCAAACATTTGTTTTCAAACTTACCAATAGTAGGCTATTTGATCGCCTAGGCCGTTGCGAACATTTCGATCGAGCAGATTGTAGCAAATATTGGTCGAGGCGCCCTCCATCCATTTGATGGAGATGGGTCCTTTGGAGATATTGAAATTGTATTGCATGAATTTGGAGGGATCCGCTGGCGTCTCCCAGTGAAATTGTTTCGCTACGCGAGACCAAAACTCAGCGGGATTGTCCAAGGACTCCTTGTAGAATTTCGTGTACTCGTCAAAGCTGGATATGTAGGCATTACGGCTAATCGCCGGATTCGGATTGAATATTGATTTTTCCGTTGGCATTTTGCGTCTGTTGTATCTTTTGCTCCACTTGGTAGGCTCTGCGAATCTATGACAATTATCCTTTGCTCATGCAACTTGTCACTGTGCCCTTTGTAATAACTGTCACTTTGTTTGGCCCTTGACTAGCAATGTGTGCGTGTGACCGTGTCTCAGCTTGTATATATGTTTATATATATATATTTGTATGTTTGTGTTTGTGTGTGTGTGTGAGAGAGTTTGTTCCACTACTACCCGCAGCGCACGACTTCTTGTACCGCACGGTCCGAGTTCAATTTGAGCACTGAGCATAGCGCTCGCCCGATATCAAGCTTTTTGCCATGCCGAGAGCTTTCGCCCGGTGAGCTTTTWGCGCGCGCRCGAGAACCTTTCTCGCGCCGTCAAGTTCAAAATAGGCAAGCTTATCAGCATCTGTGTTTTGTGGACTGACACTGACAGACGCTCGACCTGCCCATCAGTTCCTTATCACCGCATAACGGTACGTACTTTGGTACGTACGTACATTTCCACGCCTGGCTTAAGGGTGTGTGATTTGCCTTTGCTGATCTAGTGCGTCGTCTGCCGCTGAACGTAATCAGGTGATAATCGCAGCCTCAGCAACACATCTTGTTACTTACATGCTGCCGCTGCAGCGGCCATTTCCGCTGAGCCAACGCCACGCTGTTTGGCAATGATCTAACATTGAGTGGATTTTGAGTGGTTCTTTGATAAGAGCCCACTCAAAATCCACTGAGAGCGCACACCG